GATTATAGACTCAGGAGCATCTGAGCATATGACTAATGCCCCTACCATTTTCAGTTCCTATCAGTTGTGCTCTGGTAGAGACAAAATCTCTACAGCAGATGGTTCGCATATGCCCATTGCTGGGAAGGGGACAGTTAGAGTGACCAATGATATAACTTTGTCCTCTATTTTACATGTCCCTAGACCTCATACCAACCTACTGTCTGTTAATTCTTTGACAAAAAATTTGAATTGTTCTATGACCTTTCTTCCTGGTAATTGTGTTTTGCAGGATCTAGTGTCAAAGAAGATGCTTGGGAGTGGTCGTGAGGTGAATGGAGTCTACCTTTTGGATGAGATTCCGAGACATCAAGGCCATCATGTTAGCAGCAACAGTAATAGTGGGTCAGAGTCAGTAAACCAGATTATGCTTTGGCACAACCGCTTGGGACATCTTTCGTTTAATTCTTTGAAATGTCTTTTCCCAAAGTTGTTTGAATCTGTTCAATTATCTACTTTAGAGTGTGAGAGTTGTCAATTAGGAAAGCATTGTAGACAGTCTTTTAAACCAAGTAATAAAAGAAGTACTTCTGCTTTTAATATTGTTCACACTGATGTATGGGGGCCATATCAAATCCCTTCCATGGGAGGATTCCGCTACTTTCTCTTGTTTGTGGATGATTATACACGATATTCTTGGATATATTTGATGAGATCACGTGATGAGGTTCCTAACTTAGTAYGACAATTCCACCAGATGGTTCTCACACAATTTGGAGTGAGAACTAAAGTTTTTATATCAGATAATGCCAGAGAGTACTTTGAGAAGGACCTAACCATATATCTCTTAGAACATGGTGTAGTTCATCAGAGCAGTTGTGCATATACACCGCAATAGAATGGAGTTGCTGAGAGGAAAAACAGACACATTGTGGAGGTGGCAAGGAGTCTTATGGTGTGTTATTCAGTTCCTGTGCAGTTCTGGGGAGATGCAGTTCTTACAGCCGTACATGTGATTAATCGTGTTCCTTCACAGACTTTGGGGTTTAAGGTGCCATTTAGCCTCCTTTTTCCAGATGGAGAGATATTTCATATACCTCTTAGGGTTTTTGGTTGTGTTTCTTTTGTTCACATTCTTGGCCCTCATCGCAAGAAATTGGATCCTAACGCCAAGAAATGTGTTTTTCTTGAGTATGCTCAAAACCAAAAGGGGTATTGCTATTATGACCCAGTGTCGATGAGCAGATTTGTCACTATGGATGTTACCTTTTTTTAATTCACATTCTTCTTCTCAAGTGGTTCTCCTCAGGGAGGGAGTTTTGGGGAGGAGAACTCACAATCTATTCCTCTTCCTGTTTCTGTGGTGCCTCCATCAATTCAGCCACCACCTGCACCATCAGTTCAGTCAGCACCTGCACCTCCAGTTTTATTACCTGAGCCACTATGGGTAGCCTCACAGCAATATTAGTGCCGGAAAATGATGGTTGACTCCACACATCCTCGACCCACACCACTCTGTCAGTCCTTCTGAAACTCTAGATTCGTCAGATACAGTTCCAGGTATTCCTCTTGAGCCTGTTATGTTTTCTGATGATAATGTTTCTGYCCCTAACACCATTGTTGCAGCTGATCMHAYTGACCTTGATCTTCCCATTGCACTTCGTAAGGGGAAGAAAAAGTATACAGCCCACTGCATTTCACACCATCTTTCCTACAGTGCCTTATCACCCTCCTACCATGCTTTTCTTTCTTCCCTGGATTCTGTGTCTATACCCAGGAATGTTACTAAGGCTCTCTCCAAACCTGAGTGGAAAACAACCATGCAAGATGAAATGGATGATTTGGTCAAAACCAAACTTGGGAAATAGTTGATCTCCCCCCAAACAAGGAGACAGTCGGATGTCGATGGGTATTCACAATGAAGTATAAGGTCGATGGCAAGATAGAGAGGTACAAGGCAAGGTTGGTAGCAAAAGGGTATACTCAGACCTATGGTGTTGATTATCTGGAAACCTTTGCACCAGTAGCTAAGATGAGTTCAGTTCGTATT